AATCAGTACATGTGAATTGATAGTTGATAATAAATAATCTTAAAACAACTTGTCACAGCAGATTCTTTGAAAAGATGGCTAAGTCATTCACATGTCTGATTTAGACTGAGCCTTTCTTCAACAAATTAAACAATTTAAAGAGTATCTGGTGAGTACTCCACAGCTCAATGACTTGGATATCTTGTGCTTCATCAACCTTAAGACTAACCATTTCCTTTGGTTCCAACTGGGATAAGCAGATGTCTAGGGCAATAGAAAACTGGGCTCAATCTCCAAATATCCAAACCTATTCTCAATAAGGGTCTTGAAAATAAAGGTCAGAAATTCATGCAAAATTCCCTGCTTAGATGGCCACATTTGGTAAAAAGCTGAGTGAGGCCTTTCCTCTGTGAGACCTTCTAATACCTCATGGGCAGAATGTAACTATAATTTGGCAGCTAGATGGGCTACAGACAAAAACGGTGTCTGTCCAAGACCCCTACTTTATGAAATATAGCATTAGTAAAAACATTTATGAGGTGAGTATTTTTAATCTACAACTCAAGGTAAAAATCTACCACACACATTTCTCATTTAAATATTTTTATTGCATCTTAGCTCTACAGCTTTTCCTCATCACACTCAATGAAACAGGGTAATTTTCCTTTATCTGCAAAATCAATCTACCAGTTCTGTTCTTTGTCTTTAAGCTCTGTCTTCACCCTATCTCTAATACAATCCAGTCATTTTCTCTCATTTATTCCATTACCTCAAAATCATCATTACCCCAAACGAACTCACCTTGTAAGTTTGGCAACTCCCTCTACCACACTCCCAGTCCCCATTCTGCATTTTTCACTTCAACCCTGCCTCCAAAAGAAATCAACCTGATGATGTGTCTATTAATCAATCATTTTTGGATATTCGATGATGGAAGGGGGGTGGGTGCAACAACTTGGGTTGCCTTAGATCTGGATGATTCTGTCTTAAATACTGGGTTGTCGGAAAAGTCATGACATATTTTTCTATGTTTTTCGTTGCCAAAATGCATCATGACTTTTCCAACAACCCAATATATCTTCCAATTCATTATCTCTGTGCCCCTTTCTATGAAAATAAATGGATTTATTGTCTCTAGTAGGATCGGCTTTGCATTCCTCCATAAAGGGGCTATACTGGGGGTGCCAAAAAAATGTACACATTTTAAGAGATGTTATCTAAGTATTACTTTTTGAAGTTGAATTGAATTACGGTAGCAATGTGTAGTATGACATTCACTCAAAAGATGGCGTTAATCAAATGAATGGTAGCGTCATTCATTGTATTACAATTTTAATAGTTTTTTCCTTTCTTAAAATGTATATACGTTTTTGGGGGCACCCTCTGTGTTTTGGGAGACACAGTTAAAGGATATGGAAAAGTTTAACAGCATCAAAAGTTTTCTCCTTTAACTAAAAAAAAGAATTATCTTGATACAACATGGATGAACCTTGAAAACATAATGCTGAGCTAAAGAAGCCAGATACAAAAGGCCACATATTGTGAGATTCCATTTCCATGACATGTCCAGAATAGGCAAATCCATAGAGACAGAAAGAGCAGTGATTGCCAGACCTAGAAGGAGGGGGGAATAAGGAGTGACTCCTTAATGGATACAGAGTTTCGTTTGGACTTGATGAAAATCTTCTCTTCTTGGTAGTAATAATAGCGCAACTCTGTGAATATACTAAAGACCCCTGAATTGTATACTTTAAAAGAGGGTGAACATTATAGTACATGAATTATAACTCAATAAAGCAGTTATTTAAAAAAATAACCTTATCTGATTTCTGGAAACTCTGGCTCCAACCACATGCTCATGATTCTGAGTAACACATTAAAGACTCGCCCTCTGAGACCTTCATTCAACTTAGAATGCCCTCCCTAGTTCCCCATCCTTTCCCAGCCCAAATCCAACTTTTATTTTTAAAGAGAGTCTATTCATCCTTTTAAACTAACCGGTGATGGATGTTAACTACACTTATTATGGTAATCGTTTTTGCAATATATACAAATATCAAATCATTACACTGAACACACCTGAAACTAATATGTTATACGTCAATTATACCTCAATTCAAAAAATAAAATTAATTAAAAAAAAGCAAACACAAAAAACCTAACTAGAATATTTGTTCCCTTCTAAAGCGAATAAACTTTCCTTGACATCCCTCCTCTCCCAAACAGGAATAACTGCTCTCTCAGCACTTAACATATAAATGACTAAAACATTTTTAATGATATTAGAGTACCCTATTTATGTCTCTGTTTCTCACACTAGACTATGATCTCATCTCATTAACTTCTGTATTCAGTTACTAGCACAGTGCCTTGCTATCAAACTTCCAAAAGATACTGAGTAATTCTTTTTCAAAAACAGTATTTGTACAAATACATGTTTTATTAAACAACATATGAAATGATATTGTCACATAGAACTATCTGGTTGAATCTTTTGCAATTCTAATGTTGATGCATGAAAACAGCCTAAGATGAAAATTAACTGGGCATTCTTGATTGCATTGCTAAAATAAATGAGTTGAGACCTTTCTAGGTGGGACGCAGAATTTTATATTTTTATTAATGAACATTTATAAATGCACTGGGAATCAAATATGTAAATCAAAACACTATGTTTATACAGATGTGTATTTTTTTGACATGCATATTTATTTACATGCACACACATTTTTCACAGTAATGTAAATTAATGTACATAGGACAATGATTTTTGTTATGAGGTCCTCTGGTGAGCATTATCTTAAAACACAGTCCTATTTAGAGCTTTTAAAGAAAAATACTGATCCTTTTCTAAGACAGGAGCTGCAAATACCAAGAACTATAAGGATCATCAACTAAAGAGCATCATCTAAATAAAGAACATCACTTAAAGAATACCTCTGGGCAAGAAACTAACAACCATGTTTGTCTCCAGGAAGGAAACTGGGTGGTAAGGGGCAGGTACAGAAGATTTCCTTTGCACACAGAATATTTTTTATACCTTTAAATTTCATATCAAATACATTATTTATCTATACAATTTGCTTCTTGGCACCAGATAACCATCACTATTAAGGAATGCAGGCCTGGGGTTGCCAGATATGATTTTTCAAAGAAGTTATAAATGGGAAAATTCTGATTTTTATGTAAAACTCATAATTTTAAAATGTTGGCTTTATTCAGAACTTAATACATAGAAAAGGCCAAACAAAACACACCTGCAAGCCATATCTAGCTCACAGGCCAACCAGTTTACCATCTCTACTCAAAAATTTGATGTGTGGCTTATGAGTCCAAAACTGTAAATATAATTTAATGGAGGAAAACTTCAAACAGAAAACTCAGACTTGCGGATGAAACTATGCCCCATCCTGCCCCACCATCTATTTAGTCACTATTGCGCTCTTAAACTTCCGGGGTCTTTTAAAAGGCTATTAATATTTGACCAACTAAAATGCAAAGCAAGCCAGGTTTAATCAAGGAATGTGCCCATTATCCTAACATCTGCTCTGTTTTAGAGAGTGAAATACGGGTCAATTTCAAGTTGTAATTCTTCTAGCCAACTATGGAGAAGTATGTGAATTATTTCTAGGTGGGTGGAAAAATTCCCCCAACCAATTAGTCAAATGATTGTATGGTTGAAAAGACCTATAAGTTATTTTTTCCATTATTATAGGGCAGCACAGTGCTGCTCAAAAGACAAAATGGCGGTGGCGATCAACATAATATTCTGAACCGTTTCTGAGAACCTGGTCACAGTTCAGGGGAAAATCTCAAAGTCTCTTCAAGTCCTGCAGAGATGCCATTCATCACCTGAAACTGAAACTAAGAGACTCCACGTGGGTCTAATTACTGGTGGTAGTGGAAGATTGCATCTGTTGAATGCCAGAGGACACCAAAGCAAGTTAAAGAAGGACCAGTTTCAGGTCTAAGTCTAGCACTAGAGGTGCACTGTCTTGCATCTCTGGTGTGCCTACAAATCTCCCCCCACTCTGCTGAAAGCTTCAAAGGATCTGACTCTGGTATTTCCACATGATTTTCCTATACTCAGTGCTAGCTCCAATCTTCCAAACAGCAGCCTTTTTACCACCAGCTGGTTCAGTACTGGGCCTGACCATCTACTCACTGGGCCTCCCCCAATGATGAGAACACACAACCCCAGGCAAGGGTGGGGGTGAAGAGGTGATCAATGAATTGGACTACAGGACTAATGGCAACTTTGCAGACATAGGCACTCAGGGTTTTCCTTACGTAGCTTGTGGAAATGCTATGATAGGCCACAATTTTCCTAAGAGCTCTTTCACTCAGGTGACTGAGGAGTGAGCTGTTGATTTAATCTCATTCAACCATTTTGAGGAACTGTCCATTTTGCCAAGCGACTAGAAGAGCTCCACACCATATATAGAATACCTTTTTCTAAGAACAGTGAGCATTTGAAAAAACAAAATAATATATTTTTTAATCCCAGTCTTTTAAAAAAAACCACTATTACAGTGATCCAGGAAATCAGGACCTGCAAAATATTCTAATTAACAAGCAAAATATAACTCTCTTAGATTGTAACTGATGAAGCCATTTCATTGTGGGGTTCAGTGGCCTAAGAAGATTGATCAAATTATGAAATAGAAGGCAGGAATGTTCTCTCTGGAAAAAAAAGGCCAGAGTCCAATATCTTGCCTGACTTGCATTTTGACGTATGGACATTAGAGCCAACTCTCCAATGGCCACAGGCGTGCTATTCTTCAGTAAGAAACAGAGGAACTTGGAAATCAATAACCTGTACTTCCTTTATCAGCAATTTTGTGCATTAGGCACCTACTATACAACAACCTGCACACATCAGCATTCAGCAGTTGTAGAAGGTTTGTGGCAAGGGGAAAAAATATCATGATTAACTACTTCCTTCCTTTTCCAACAATCTGAATATCAAGTAGGTTTTAAACACATCAGTTCTCAGCACATAAAGCTTGTTTCATTCTTACCTCAGCAGCTTGAGTCTCTTGATGCAGCAATGTGAGACCGGTCAAGTCTTCTAAGAATGAATGTGAAGAATTGAACACCTTCGTTAGGAAATTAAATCCTTCTCGTTCATATTGATCAAGAACCTGTAAAACATTGATATACATTTTTAAAGGGGCTGTAGGTTTTAAATGTGTATTAAAAGATTTTCACTTCTAATAAGCATCTGTCAAAAATGAAACAAAAACTAGAATTAAATACGGTGGATAATCCATCTGTTGGGCAAAAAACTGGGAAGGCTTAGTATTTACCATTTTTTTCTTTCTTAGAAAGAATGACAATATTATCTTCCAATTCAGATGACAATTTTTCTCAAATAAAAGAAGTTACATGCAAATTCACTAAAAACTCTAGAAGAGCTGGGGTTACTGATTTTAAAGTTCACTTGTTAGGAAAAAAATAATAGGCAAGAAGAGCCCAGAAAAAAATTTACAAGGATAAAGGGGAAAGAAGGGACAAAAGGATGGGCAATGTGACCTACTGGCTAGCCAAATGTATTTAAGAAAATAATAACGTAAAAATGTAAAATTAAATTTCACCAGGCTCATCATAAAAAAAGGAGGCTCAAATGGCCAATAAATGCATGAAAAGTTGTTTAGCATTACAAGTGATCAGGGAAACGAAAGCTAAAACCCCAATGAAATAGTACTTTAGACCTACCAGCATGGCAAATACCAAGTACCGGCAAGCATGCAGAACAACCTGGATACTCATGGTAGTACAAAATGAGACAACCACTTTAGAGGTTTAACACTCATATGCCCTAGGATCAAGCAATCCTACTCCTGGACACACAAAAAAAGTGTACATATGTGCATCAGAAGACCCAGACAAAAGTGTCCACAGTAGCACTATTCATGATAGTTCGCAACTAGAAACTACTCAAGTGTTCAGCGACAGTAGAGTGAATGAACAAACTGTGGTTTATTCACACAGTGGAATGTTATATACCAGGGGTCCGCAAACTGTGGCTTGCGAGCCACATGCGGCTCTTTGGGTACATTCCGTCTCAAAAGTTTGCCGACCCCTGGAAGAGCCAATCCTGTCCCTCACAATTTAAAAATTATTCAAGAGTCATAAGTATATTTTTACAAATAAGGAAAATTTAAAGTAATATTATAAATAAAACTATGATAGTTTTATTTTCATTTTCAATTTTACTTCAGAGTCACATGTACGTACCCAAAGAGCTGCATGTGGCTCGCAAGCCGCAGTTTGCCGACCCGTTACATAGCAATGAAAACAAACTGCAACTACATGCAACAATATAGGCAATTCTCACAGACATAATGTTAAACAAAAGAAAGAAGCAGTATGTACTGTATGATTACATTTATATTAAGTTAAAAAAACCAAGCAAGATGAATCTATAGTGTTGGAAGTCAGCATTATCCACGAAGTGACTAATTGAAAGGGAACACGCGGGAGGCTCTGGTCTGCTGGTGATACCTGCTTCTTTATCTGCATGGCTTACAAGGTGGACTTGGTGAAAAATCATCAAGCACTTTTTTGTACACAGCTGTCCTTCCATAAAAAGAGCAAAAGACAGAAGGCTAACAGTCTTGATAGGAGAACAATATAGGAACATATGAGCAGTCAGAAGCAATCAAACAGATGATTATCACATTTTAGAATTCCTTGACCACAAGAACTTCGAATTGCAGAAAGTAAACAGTGAACCAGAATGCCTCAGAATTCAGAAGAAATAAAGATGGATGCCTCAAAAAGGCAGCAGACATTGAAGATAAATTCAAGAAATCAATTACACATGAATAGAAAGGTTGGAGAAGCAATACCACAAAAAATAGAAAAATTTTAAAATAAATATTCTCTGTTCAGAAATGAAAATGTGTAAACCCTTTAATCCAGCAATTCTACTTCAAAGACTGTTGAAGGCTGGGGAACTGTGATTTTCCTTTTGTTGCAATATTTTTTAATACTCAATTATCTTTCACTTTACAAAGTGAGCATTTTAAAGAATATCTAATAAGGAGAACATTGACTCTTAAGCAGCATGCCCACACCATTCTTGCTTGTGCCCTGCTTGTATGAGCACAAAGACTGGTATGTAAGGATGCTCCCTGCAACCAAGTTTGCAGCAACAAAAGATTAGAAACAACTACCCTTTAACAGGGGACTGATTAAATTATGGTGTATTTACAACCAAGGACATGATCTGGATCCATTAAAGGAATGAGGTAGTTCTATAGTACTAATATAAACTGATTTCCAAGACATAGAGAGATACTAAAAAATGATGTCCAGACTGTGTGTCTAGTACTGTTTTTAAAAGAAAGGTGGAGGAAGAGAGGGAAACGTACGTGTGTGTGTGTGTGTGTACACTGCTTATTTACGCATATAACCTCTGGAAAAATACACACACAACTGGCATCAAGGAGTTGCCTCCCTATATTCTTTTATGCTGCTTGAATTTTTAAAACCATGTGCATGTATTACTTATTTAAATAATATTAAAATCTTAATTTAGTTTTTTTCCTCCAGTGCTGGAGAAAGGTCTCAGAAGAGAGGGAACTACTCTAATGTCCTGATGAAGAAGTTGGTGCTAGAAAGGAGGGGCCATCCTCCTTCAGCCACGGGAAGCACAGCAGCTGTAGTGACAACTTAGGATCCTAGGTAGGAAACGGGGCTGAGCAATTCTAGGGTCTAAACAGCAGGCAGAAAAGTCACTGACTGCCAAAGAGGAGGGTGGGATGAGCCATGAAGCCTGAGGAGGGTGGTGACGGTCTGGACAGCTGCGTGGGGAATGTGAGAAAGGAAGCTGGTCAGCAGCACAGAAAGAGTGCTGAGCAACCTGAGGCCCCTGCTCAGGATGGAAAATAGAAGTTTTGAAAGAAAGGTGGTTAAGGACTCATCTAAGCTTGGGGACTGGCAGGAAAAGGGTAACAAAGACAGAGGTCAAATAAATCGATGGGCAGGCTGGCCGAGTGGCTCATTGGTGGAGAGTTGGCTTGGGAGTGCGAGCTCTGAGCAGCAGGGCCATCAGTTCGGATCCCACATGGGCCAGTGACGCTGCGCCCTCTACAGCTGAGATGGTGAACAACAGCTCAACCTGGAGCTAGGCTGCCATGAGTCGCCGGCGACAGCATAGGCTGCAGTGGGCTGCCATAAGCTATCATGAGCAGCTGGCAGCTGCCGTGAGCTGCGGTGAGATGCTATGAGCGGCTGTCCAATGACCGGCGACCGATCTGCCTCAGCTGGGAAGAGCACAATGATAATACCAACATGGGCCAGTGAAGCAACGTCCTCCACAACTAGACTGAAGAACGAAAGGACAGCAACTTGTCTGTTTCCCTTCTCCAATTCCACAACGCTGTTCCCTCTTCCAATTCCCCAATAAAATCTTTAAAAAAAAAAAAAAGAAAGAAAGAAAGAAAAGAAAAGAAAGCGAGGGGCTGGTGAATACCAAGAAGGGGCCCAAGGCTGGTTAGAAAAAACTTGCAGGCTGGAGGGAACAGATAGATTGGGATCCTGAAGGGCAGGAGAGATGGGGGATATGGGGTGGGGGATGTGGTGACCACAGTCTCAAGGCATATACAGAGTAGTGTTTGGCTGATTAACCATGGTAAATTAGTTTGATAACCAACTGCTTGAATAAAAAGGCACTTAATAACTAAATCTCTCAGTAATAAAATTTCTTACAAACCAGACTGTTATTTCAGAAAAAAATATGCATGGAAATGAAGTGACCTTTTTCAAAATGATAAATACTGTCTGTTTAGTGATCACTTATTTCTGAGTGAACCATTAAGCTCACGAAATAGGTACTTTGTGCCAGGTTTCCAGTAGGGTAAAAGAAGAAAATGGGTTTGAAAAATGGACAAAAACTTTGAAAAAAATTGGAGTAGTTCCAGAGATGATACTTTCTTTGTTAGACTTCACTGAACTTTCAGTTTTCAAGCCTATGTTTCCATATAATTCTGTGGTGCTACAAATCTGGACAGTGGAAAAACTAACAGCAAGGGGAAAATGAGTAAAGGGCTCCTCCCCCATGATCAGGATGTACAGAAAGTTTAATGCTGAAACATTATTAATAGCTCTGGCTTGAAATATATGTGGAAAAACTTAATCCTTGAGGGGCACATTTAATCATGCAAGGGTTTTCCAGTATTCCCTTTATGTGCTGGGAAGTCAATCTGTGTTACAAGTATAAGCAGCTTATAAAAGGTACCAGGCTTCTCCCCCCTACAAACAGCTTAACTGTCTTACAGGGGGAAAACGTGTTTTACATTATCCAAAAACAACAACACCCAAGATACCATCACAATGAATTTGAGCACTGCAACAACCTGTCAATCTACATAAAACATACCAGACCTTTTAAGTGAATTACATAATACATGGTTCTGAGAAGTGTACATATTACATTCTGGTAGGTTTTAAGTATTCCAAGGGTACTGGGAGACTGCTACGTAGAGAAATAATAATGACTCTTTTGGTATAAAGATATGGATCCTTTCCTGATGGACATGATTTTCCTTACTTAGTTATTTTGTAAGGCTAGGTTATCTTTATTCTCAACATATATGAGCACATACACCTGGACAAAGATAGAAGAATCTCTTCTTAAAACATGATTTTAAGATTATCACTTCTCTTACTGAAATTCTTTGGTGACTCTTTTTTTAAAAGTGTAATTGGCATACAATATTAGATTAGTTTCAGGTGTACAACACAGTGATCTGCCATTTATATACCTTATGATGTGATTACCACACTAATAAGTCTAGTAACCATCTGTCACCATGGAAATTTATTACAATATTAGTGGCAAGCTTCCCTGTGCTGTATACTACAGCCCTGTGACTTATTTATAACTAGAAGTTTGTACCTTTTATTCCCCTTCATCTTTTTAACTCATCGCACCACACTCCTCACTTCTGGCACCTATCATTTTGTTCTCTGTATTTATGAAATTGTTTCTGTTTTGTTTGTTTGTTTTTCTAAGATTCCACATATAAGTGAGATCATACAGTATTTGTCTTTCTCTGACTTATTTCACTTAGCATAATATCTACTAGGTCCATCCACGTTGTCACAAATGGCAAGACCTCATTCTTTTTTACTG